AGATGTAATACCATTAAGATTGAATACTATTTTCCATCTGGATTGCAGGGGGTAAGATTGCTATCTTGGTTTTCCAAATTTAAAGTTTTAGTGATCATTGCAGCTCACATCTGTCAGATATCGTTTGAAGTCAGCATTCATATATACAATAGCAACTTGAGATTTATGTGGTCTGAGACTGATTTAATGTATGTTTCTCAGTCCCTTACGTAATTAAGTTTATTTTTTTGGAATTCTTTTTATACATTACTGTTTAGGCTAATGATCCAAGTCCTGGGAGTAGCTATTCTGGTACAAGCCGTACTGCCTATCTCCCTGACAACCGTGAAGGACGTGAAGTGTTACGTTTATTAAAGTTGGCATTTGAACGTAAATTGACTTTCATTATTGGTACTTCAGTGACAACTGGATGTAACAATACTGTTGTATGGAATGACATTTATCATAAAACTAGCATGTATAGAGGACCCTCTGGGTAAGAATTTAATTCCCATGAAATTTTCTTGAGAAATCGTATTTAGTGAACTATCATTAGCATGTGACCATGCAGTGACTTCATGGCAACACGTATCAATATTTTAGACTTTTCAGAAAACCGTTTTAGTAATTCTGAGTGAATTACATAATATTGGTACCCACCCTCTTTTATGACTTGTTTCATTCTATATCATGCAGCAAATGTTTAAATAAATCTCTGTTGGATGCAAATTAAAATGTCAACTCTGAATACACATTATTTTCATGAATAATGATCAAAAAATTTACAAATATATAAACATTGATCACATTCAAACTTCACAAATATATCACATATTTTGGGGGACATGCACATCCTTTTCTTTCATGATTCATTTCATGGCTGGATGGTGCCAAAATCAAGCTTTTCTACCATTCCGAAGCTGGTCTTTGTCATGTATGCATGGATTTCATTCACACTTTGTACATATGTATGTACATTGAACATATTATACATTGATGCACGTCATTTTATTTTTAAGATTCAAAATGGCCATTGGTGGACATTTTGATTTAATAAATGCTTTTTCCGACATTCCCTGACTAATAATGTTCGAACTTCATAGATAATCATGTTGCACATATTCAGAAATACTTATTTGGGCAATCAGATTAAAGATGGCCAAATGGTGGCCATTTTAATGTTAAAAATTCATCATTCATCTATGTTGTGTATAATGGACTTCGTTCACACTTTTTATTATCTGATCTTAATGCACATTATTTGTTTTTTAGATCTGTTTCAAAATGCCTGAATATAGTGGCTAATTTGTTAAAATAATTATGTTCTTAAGCCATACTTTACATGCCTGAACTGACCATGTTCAAACTTTAATAGTAGTGTATCTTGTAATTCATGTCATGCATACATTTATGCACATGTATTATTTGCTGATCAAATTTAAGATGACCAAATTGCAGCCATTTTAATGTTAAAAATTCATCAAAATCTGGCATTTCTGACACTCCACAGAGGGATCTCTATTGTGCATGTACAGATTTTGTTTAACTTCGTACATAAATTGAAAATTACAGGGCCTTGATGCAGGTCTTTTTGTTTTTATATAAGATTCAAAATGGCCGACTGTTGCCATTTTGTTTAATGAATGCTGTTCATGACTTCATTTCCTGACTGTTATGTTCAAACTTTATATACTTGTCAAACTTGATATTTCAATTACTTGATTAACTTATTATTAGATGAAAATTAAAAGTTAATATTTTATTACTGGTATCACTTTCAGGTTTGGATACCAGGATGACACATATTTGAAGCGAGTAAAGGAGGAATTAGCTGCAAAGGGAGTTGTATAATCAAACAAATTTGCTGGATTGATTAAATATTTTATTTTACCTGAATATTTTAATCAGAGCTTTGTAACTAATACTTGGTTTCACACTTGCACATAATGAATCAGTTGTCCTTTATGTTACATATAGATAGATGTTTCACTGACTGTACCTGAATATGGAATATTTCAAATGTATAAGGTTTTTATCACTTAACCATAAAGCTGGTTAATACGAGTGACATCATCATGGTCTAGTTCTATCAACAAACTGTGTATAATACAGACAATGTCACCACAAATATCAATCAACTCTCAGACTAAGTGATATCAGGTGATAAGCTGAGTATCACATGAATCATATGTTTGTTTTTATTTGTGGCTGTAATGGTTTTTGATAATCATCATATTTACTTCAGTCAGCAAAGTTATGAGCTTGTGAAGTTGTATTAGATTTAGTGATTGTTGTTTAGACTGACCTAATCAAATCACTTCAATTTTGAACAAGCATAAATTAATGGCA